CTTAAGTGTCTGGAATGCAACACTGCAGCGTTGATGAGCCATCTCAAGAAAACGTTCTTTTATAGTGGTTTGACGGTTAAGCAGAAAGTTTTCAGTCCCACAAATGATTTTTCAGGACGGTTCTGGTCCGGACAGCAAGACTGGTTACATGTACAAGCCTGTTGGGCCAAACTGTGTGTACAGCCATCATCAGAATATTCCATTTTTCAGTGTTTTTTTCATAATTCATCATCAATGAATGTTTGTTAATTTGACTCAAACCTTAGAAAACCGTTTACACCTAAACTTAACGATCATTTACAGAAATCTTCCCTGTAACATCTCTGAAGAATTCCATTGCAAATGATCTTAGATCCGATTTTTGCTTTCACGCCATCGTTTGATTCCCTCCCTCATGTCAACTCTTACAGCTTCTAGAAAATCAGACAACTTGTGTCTTTCCTCCAAACAGCGCATGAGGACCTTGTTTAGTTCTTAATAAATGCTCCAGAACAGAGTTTGCTAATGTTGCCACAGCTGTGCGGTCACAACCCGACCCCAAGGGACATCTTGTGCACTTTACTTGGACAAAACAGGGTTATTTAATGTCTTCAAAACAAGAACTTAATTCAATTAAACCTTACGGTGTCATCTTAAGTTAAACAAACGCTGTTTTATCGGAGTTCAAGGCCTAGCAGTCCTTCAAGGAATGCAAGTCACCCGCTGCTTTTTCTGCCGGTGTTAAACTGAGAATGTTTTGTGACGGGGCGGCACGGTGGAGCAGTTGGTAGCGCTGTTTTCTCTCAGCGAGAAGGTCGACGGTTTGTCTCTATGTGTCCCTGTGATGGACTGGAGACTAGGCCTGTCATGATAAAAAAATATGCTGGGCGATTAATTGTCTCAGAAATTATTGCGATAAACGATAACATTGTTTGAAATTTGACAATAATTAGTAATTATTGTCAATTTAAAGAAGAAATGTTGGTTAATTTTGTGTGTAATACCTTTTTTGACCACTGGATGGCAGTTTAAGACTGTTTGAACCGAAGGATGGATAGTGAGGGAGCGAGCGGCGTGTTTCTTTAAGCAAAATGGGAGGGAGGCCCCTTGACATGACATGGGCTGTCTATCTTCGGTCCTCAAAATGGTGGACGCTCTGTGTGGTTTGAGCTCTTTAGCGTAGCATTTTCACGCAAAGCTTTTAATAAAAAAATCAGTGAACAAGTTCTCAGCTTCTTTGAGAAGAGAAAAACAACTTTTAAGACGAAGGAACAAGTTTCAACCGTGAATTTTGGAGCTTTGACAAGACAGAAGGTCAGCCTGTTCGCTTAGCTCGTAGCTTAGCTTCTCAGCTTAGCTACTTTTAACGATCCAAAAACAGATTTTAAAGAGAAAGGGAGGGGTCAGTGACGAGCAGAGTTGAGCCTTTTGTCAACAAAAAACAACGTGCAAGTTCAAAACGCCTAATATTCACGATCAGTGTCACATTTACACTGTTCATCTTGGTATGATGTAAAAAAACAAAACCTTTACCTTTAAGATTTAAATAAATGCAGGACTGTAAGTGCACTCTGTACATCTGTCACATATTTAGTCTCTTTCTTTAAAAATGTTAATGCTTTGACTGTAATTTTAAAGCTTCTGCAGCAAATATGACCTTAATAACAGGTAAGTCAGTCTGACTCTATGGACCAGGCTCTATTTTTGTAGTTTTTGCCCTTTTTTCCCTGTGCTTCGCCAGAACCATCCACCTGCCTCCTGTTCTCCCATTTCTGCCCCTCCCCTCCAGCCGAGCGAGGAATGTATGAGGCAGCATGTTTGGTTCTGGGTGAGAAGGACTGGAAACCACATTAACGGACCTCCTGCACTGTCTGGCTGAGACGAGCTCCGTGTAGGTTCTTTAAGTGAGTTCATTTGCATCGTTGGCTTGTGGGTTCTCTGCAGCCTCTCAAGTTGCCAAAAGGGGGTTGAGTTTTATTTGACCTGATTTAAGTTTAATTTCCTTTTTATTGGGCAAATCTAATTATTTAATGATAGCTCATTAAATTATAGTGAATAAGACGTGGGAAATCAGAAATGCTGTTAACTGACGGTGCCGCAACGTAAACAATAAATATTTGTCCTGTACCTCATGATTTGAAATGAAACATTGAATAGCATGTTTTGCCTTTAGGTCACATAGACAAGAGAGCAATGAGATTTTGGGAAAACGTGGGAAAATCTTGCTCTCTTTGAAGCTCTCTAGCTTAGACGTACGTCGAAATAAAAACATCATTCAAACTTTAAAAATGTCACAGAAAGTTGGACTTTCCGTGTCTGAACTGGCATTCTCATCGTTTACACAACTGTAGAGGTGAATCCACAGAGAGTTCAACACAGGTGATGTCACAAAAACAAACAATTCTCACTGCCACAACTCTTTTTGGTAAATATATGTTATAGATTAAAATGTAGGGGTTTTGATGATATTTCACCGAATGTTTCTCTCACTGGACGTCTGGTTTTCACTATAAAAAACCCAATTTGTAACCTAGCACCAGGTCAAATTTGAACCGAACCGACCCTTGGGTAGGTTTAATCCAAAAAGAAAAGAAAAAAACTAGATTAAAATTTACTTAGAGCTTTTAAAAAGTTTAATCAAAAAAGACAAGAAAAAAATCTGACGTTCAAGATATTTACAACTTGTCGCTAGCTTTCTAGCGCTAACTGCTATTAGCATCAGCTAGCTACCAACTACTTTTAGCAAACAAACCCGCGTGTGTCCATACGACGGAGTATTAGGGCCACGCTAAGAAAAAGAAAACGATGAGAAAAAAAATCAAAATTATGAAAATAAAGTTGTATGACAATAAAGTCATAATATTATGAGAATAATACTATGACTTTATTCTCATATTACTATGATTTTATTCTTGTAATTTACGACTTTATTCTCTTAATACTAAGACTTAATTCTCTTAATATTATGACTTTATTCTTATAATACTATGACTTTATTCTTGTAATTTACGGCTTTATTCTCGTAATTTATGACTTTATTCTCGTAATATTTCGACTTTATTCTTGTAATACTATGACTTTATTCTCGTAATACTATGACTTTATTCTCATATTACTATGATTTTATTCTCGTAATTTACGACTTTATTCTCTTAATACTATGACTTAATTCTCTTAATATTATGACTTTATTCTTGTAATACTACGACTTTATTCTTGTAATTTACGACTTTATTCTCGTAATTTATTACTTTATTTTCGTAAATTACAACTTTATTCTCGTAATACTACGACTTTATTCTCGTAATACTATGACTTTATTCTCATAATTTACAACTTTATTCTCATAATACTATGACTTTATTCTCGTAATTTACGACTTTATTCTTGTAATACTACGACTTTATTCTCGTAATACTACGACTTTATTCTCTTAATACTACAACTTAATTCTCATAATACTACGACTTTATTCTCGTACCATTATTACTTTATTGTTGTACAACTTTATTCTAGTAATTTTAAGACTTTATTCTCGTAACTTAATTTATTTTTTCTTAGCGTGGCCCTAATATTCCGTCGTATGTCCAAACTTAAGTTGTTAACAAAGTAAGTTAAACATCTAAACAAGTTGTTTTTACCATTGAATCTTTACATATGTCATAAACCAGTTTCAGTTCAGGCTGTGAAGAACCATGTAACTTTTTGACCCAATATATTTAAGTGTGCACCGTCTCACCTTTTACAAGAAAATAAAACTGAGAACAGTCTTAAAGATATATGTGGTCCAATGGAGTTTTATGATTGTATGTTATAACCATACAGGCTGAAACACTGTCGAAACAAATTCACACAAACCTAAAAATTATCTGTGGGACTCAGAACAATGAAATCCAGCAACAACTTCCACTGAGCAGATCCAGATGTTACAGTAAGTTCACCTCATTTAAATTTCACTCGCATTATATGTGCCAACACTTATTATTTCTTAAACCAATTTATTTCCATTCCTTATAATTTGCACTCTTTCACCTCCTGTCTCTCTTCAACTCTTCACTTCTCAAGCCCTGGATGCATGTAAGACCTCCTCCCCTCTCTCTTCAAGCTCTCCTTACAAGCCATGTTGTTTAAAAAAAAGCTAAAATTTAGCTACATGTGGTCACTGGTCTACTTTCAAGGGGGATATCAAAACCCGATGAGTGAGACTTGCAGAAAAAAGGCAGATTTTGTGTTTTATGAAATGGTTCTGTTTTGTACACACATGGTTTTAAAGCTGCCTGATCCAGGAGTCGTGTCCAACAACAACAGCCGTGCACTTTCTCAGGGTCCACACTGCCAAGTATTAAAGCTGATGAGGAGCATATGTGGCTGTCGGTGCCCTGTGCAGGTGCCGACCCACATCCCGCCACCACAAATACACTTTCTGCTTGCTCACGCAGAAAAATATTAACCGTTTTTAAAATGGTTACACGTAACGAGTATAATGTTTATAATTGATTTTGTATGTTTACTCTAAAAAATTAAGCCAGGTCCTCTGGACGTTCAAAAAAAAAAGAATTTGTAGAAACATTTCGTCTTTCATCCGAAAGACTTCTTCAGTCTGAGGAGCTGTATTCAACTCAGTCTCTTAAATAGCACCTTCTCAGAGTGGATCAACCAGTTTGCTGCTGACAACCAAAACCAGTTGCTCATATGATCAAGGAGGACCATCAGCTTAACGATGGATCCTTAGCACCCTGATGGCTGTTTACTATTCACAGGAGGCTGAGTGATAATAGCAATCACAGCATTGTAAGAGGGGGACAGTTGAACACGGAGGCCTCCACCCCTGTTTAATGATGGACGGTTTATTCTCACAAAGATGAGCTGAATACAGCTCCTCAGACTGAAGGTCTTTTGGATGAAAGACAAAGCGTTTCTACAATTTTGTTTGTTTGTTGAACGTCCAGAGGACCTAACTTAACATTTTAGATTTTTCTACCTGGATTACTAAGCATGCATCAGGGTATTTGTATGTTTACCTTTCATGATTTAAGTCTCCAGATTCCTGTAGGGTGATGCTGTTCCAGTTCCTGCCAGATGAAAATGATGTTTTAGTCCTTTTATTGCTTGTTTTTTAACAAAGAAAAGGTTCTCATTTGTCTCCTGCTTGAACTAATTTCTCAAAGAATTAAAAAAAAAAAATGTATCTCCACAGAATGTTCAAAAAAGCTGATGCAAAATAAGTGTAGAGCAGGAAAAAAGCAGCTTCAGAAAAAGAGCTTTATCTCTAGATTATTTCTGAGACTGCAGCGTGGGTCTGTCATTTCTCATGAAAACTGGTAAAAGCGCCTGTAAATTCTGATCATGTGTGTTTTCATGCCACTCCTCCCTTTTTCTCATTCAGAGCTCCAGAACCTCCTCAAACAGAAACCATGTGAGACGCCTGAGAGGGAGGGAGGAACAAATGCTGGAGGAAGAAAAAGAAGAAGAGCGGTTTGGGAGAAGAGAGAGGAATGGGAGGGGAACAAAGAAAGCAAAATAAAATATTAGGGGAGGGGCTGGGAAAAAAAAACAGAGAATAAAGAAAAGGAATAAAAAGGGAGGGGGCGAAAAGCAGGGAAGGTCCATGTGTTTTGTTGAGAGTCAGGTTTGGGGCTAATTGCTAACAAATGTTGAGGGGTGAGCACCTTGAATGTCTGTGGCCTTGGTCAGAGGGAGAAAGAGAAAAAACAAAACCTTTCTGCAGACGCACACGTATGTAAACGCTATAATCCCTGTTTGGCACCAGTTTGCAGTCTCGGCTTGTTCCCCGTAACCTCAGCGACGTGCACGTGTTAAACTAACGGCAGGTGTTACTCTTGCACCGCCACACATCCGGCCAACTGGCTGACGAGGCAGCTCCACTCACTGTCTGGGAACTGTGCTGCAGTTTGCATTTGCTGTCCCGTTGACGGCTGGAGGACTTTTAACTTGTACCTGTTTATTTACGACTCTAGTTTGGGAAATGCCAAGATTTACACCATGAGCTTGCATGTTGTGTTCATCTAGAAAATGAGTTATTAATTATTTGCGTCGTAACATATGAGGTCAGGCAGGAATCCGTGTAGTCTATGATGTTTGCAGATGACATTGTGATCTGTGGTGAGAACAAGGAACATGTGGAAGAGAATTTGGAGAGGTGGAGGTATGCACTTGAAAGAAGAGGGATGAAAGTCAGCCGTAGTAAGACAGAGTGGTGGAACAGTGAGGCTACGAGGAGCAGAGGTCACAAAGGTCAAGTTCTTGGGGTCCACTGTCCAGGAAAATAAAGTGTGGTAAAGAGGTGAAGAAGAGAGTCCAGGCAGGATGGAGTGGATGGAGAAAAGTTTCAGGAGTGATTTAACACAAAAGGTCAAAGGGAAAGTTTACAAGACAGTGGTGAGACCAGCTGTGATGTATGGTCTGGAGCAGGGGTCTGCAACCTGCGGCTACAGTCCCATCTGCAGTGGCTCTTTCAAGCTTTGACCAAAACTAACAGAAAACTGAATTTTATTGGTTATTGTACAAACTACAACAATAAAGGACTAGTTTTAGCAGTTTTCCTGTCATTTATTTTGCAAATATGTGAATACTGGAACTAGTACAAGGAGTAAAACACACTCACTTTAACTTTACGCTTTATTTCTATACTTAGTTTTTATATAATTAAAAAAAAATTACATAGGTCTGCATAGTTCAGTTGTTTTTTTAACTCCCCCCACCCCCGCCATAAGTTGATGCCTCTTTACAAGAATCTGGTCTTTTCGTTTGTCTTAAATTCTAAAAAATATCAATAAATGTTTAGCTTTATAATGTTACACCTACTAGCCACAATAGCCCCCTCCAACAAACCTAAAGTGGCCCACAGGTCACCAGTTGATAATCACAGTTGTAGCAGGTTGTTGTGGCTCTGGACAGATTTAATTTAGTGAACGAAGGTGTAAAAATGGCTCTTTTATTCATAAAGTATGTAGACCCCTGGTCTGGAGACAGTGGCATTGACAAAAAAGACAGGAGACAGAACTGGACGTAGGAGAAATGAAGATGCTAAGGTTCTCCTTAGGAGTGACAAGGATGGATGAGATTAGGAACGAGATCATCAGAGGTACAGCACAGGTTGAACAACTGGGAGATAAAGTTAGAGAGGACACACTGAGATGGTTTGGACATGTCCAGAGGAGGGACAGTGGGTATATTGGTAGAAGGTTGTTAGAAATGCAGCTGCCTGGAAAAAGACAAAGAGGAGATATGTGGATGCAGTTAGAGAGGACATGGAGGTAGATGGTAGTTGGAAAGAGGACAGATTCAGAGGACAGAGTGAGATGGAGAAGGATGACTCGCTGTGGCGACCCCTGAAGATGGAAAATCCAATAGAAGAAAAAGAAGAAGAATTATTTGTGGTCATGAAACAAAAGAAACAAAAGTAAATACAGTACTGCAGACAGAAATAAACTTTGCTTTCTGGAATACCAGCCCTCTGCTCACTACTACGTATGTGTACTCAACACTTTTGTAAATTCATAAAACAAGATTTTTAACTTGCTGGAGATATTGTTACAGAGTCTGTCTAACGGCAAGATGTTTTTCCTAATCCTAAACAACTAGTTAAAAGTGAGATTATGTTGGTAATCCTAACCAAGTTTAAAAGGTGGATGTATTTTAATCCTAACTACTGTATGTATTTTTAAATGTAATATGTCTTCTTATTCCTGACCAAGTATTTTTACAAGATGTTTTCCTTTTCCTAACCCTTAAGGTGATATAGTTGCCAAAGAAACTGTTAAGTACATCTATTAATGCACTACTACTTGTGTAGTCTTTTAATTCAATAGCAGAGAACGCTATGTATTCTCTGTAAGTAGGTCTAGGGAAAAAATATAATCGGTATTGGTATTGATTACGGGCCAAATAAGTTTTAACATATATCGGCATATTGGATATCGGAAAAAACCCAATATCGTGCATCTCTAGTCAGTGTTGTGGTCTCATAATCCTGAGGCTACAGGTTCAAGCCCAGGTTGCATCAGGAAGGTGCAACCGGTGTAAAATTGCCAAATATTCCATATAAGTTTGTTCGCTGTGGCAACCCCTAAAGAAGAAGGGCGCAGCCAAAAGAAAAACTGTATTGTCAAACGGTGAACACTGAAAACCAGAAGAGGTGAATTAGGACGAAAATAAACACTTTAAAGTGAACAAAGCAAGATGATTTGTACAGATGAATACTTCATCAATACGATTTTCTATCCTGAAGAACAAAAAGTTTCCATGTCGTTAATAGTAGGCGTGTCACGATAACAAACTGTGCTGGGCGTTTAATTGTCTCGGAAATTATTGCGATAAATGATAATATTGTTTGAAATTTGACGATAATTAGTAAGTATCGTCAATTTTACGAAGAAATGTTTGTTAATTTGTTTTGTGTGTTTTCGACCACCGGATGGCAGTATAAGACTGAACCTAAAGATGGATAGTGAGGGAGCGAGCAGTGTGTCTCTTTAAGAAAAATGGGAGGGAGGCCCCTTGACGTGACATGGGCTGTCTCTCCTTCCTTTTTTCCGGTTTTCAAAATGGTGGACGCTCGGTGTGGTTTGAGCTCTTTTTAGCATAGCATTTTTCACACAAAGCTTTTAATTTAAAAAAATTCAATAAACAAGTTCTCAGCTTCGTTTTACAGAGAAAAACAACTTTTTAGACGAAGGCACTGGTTTCAACCGTGAATTTTGGAGCTTCGACAAGACGGATGTTTTTTCCCGAGGTCGGCCTGTTAGCTTAGCTCGTCGCTTAACTTCTCAGCTTAGCTGCTTTTAATGATCCAAAAAAGTGATTTTGGATGATTAAAACTGATTTAAATGAGAAAGGGAGGGGTCAGTGAAGAGCACCAGAGCTGATCCTTTTGTCATCCAGTGTCTTCAGTAGCAAGAGAGAGACAATAAAGCCGATAAATGAAAATGATAACTTTATCATGCGATTAATTGATTTGTTGCTTATCGTGACAGGCCTAGTTAAAATACTTTTATCAAGAACAAAAACTGCTGAAGCATTTTCAGTGACTGAGTCATCTGTAAACAACTTGTTCTATTCTGTTCCACCAAAAGGAGTCATAACTATTACAATCATGAACGGGATTTGTTGTAAAATACAATTAGGGGCCTATTTGGTAATTTACTGACAAACATATCTGAAATAAAAATGCTTTCCGTTTGTATTTAACCATGTGTAACCAACTAATCCTATTTTTTTAAACGCACGTTCCCGTGCTCTCAGTGCTGCGTTCCTGTCGTGACGTGAACGTTCTTAAATTGATACCAGAGTTGTTCAGATCTTTGAAGCTCTTCCAGTCCGTCAGCCACAATCATGCAGGACTGCCAATGGGATCAATTACACTTTCATCATATTTTGTGTTGCATGCCTGAAAAAAAGGGTTTTTTTTTTTTATTGCTTTTGTTGCTGTTGAATGTTGGAACTGCAACACCAGATAGGATGAGTTCAATAATCATTAGATACAGAGCAGCACACTCTGTTGGCAAACGTGGATATCTACATTGACACGCACCCCACAAAAATGGGTTTGTAATGCTAAAACATGCTAACCGAGCAACACAAAGTAAATTTGTGTTTCCAACAATTTTCAGCCAGGTCATCTGGACAGTTTCTTCTTTTTTTTTTTTGCTGAAACGTTTCACCTTCCATCCAGAAGGCTTCATCAGTCAAGGAAACACACAACACAAAACTGATTCTTCCCCCAAACAGCTTACTCCAAAGTGGAAACATAACATTAGCACCAACATAACTGGTTTGTTCCACTTTGGAGTAAGCTGTTTGGGGGAAGAATCAGTTTTGTGTTTCCGTGACTGATGAAGCCTTCTGGATGGAAGGTGAAACGTTTCAGCACAAAAAAATAAAGAAACCGTCCAGGTGACCTGACTGAAAATTGTTGGCTTGTATACCTGGATTATTGAGCATGGACTTTTTTAAATTTGTGTTTATTCCCTAAGATATTTCCTGACAAAAAAAACGTCAGCGTATGTTTTTGTTTGTTTGATATTCGTAGCCAATTATGAACGTTTCTTCAAAATCCAGGGTTGGCTCTAATGAACCAAACATTTCGTAAATTTTGTTGTCGTGCGCGTGTAAAAAAAAATAACTGCT